TTGTAATTATTTTATTAGACTCAGGGCAAATTGAAGTACATATCTGTAAGTACATATCTGTTCAGCTGATTAAACTCTGTTAGAATCCCTTACTTTACAAAATACTATGTTGCATTTAAACAAAAATAAACTGCCGTATATGAACACACATATACTCAGACTATACAATATTGTTGTTTTAGCCTTAGTTTTTTTACATTTGTAATACATAATGTGAGTTAAGACAACCAAATCAATTTGTTAGTACTTGTGCTGAACACTGAAGCATTATAGGCAATAGTAATTTTATAAATAAAATCACTAGCTCCCCAAAAATGGTAAAGTGTATACAGTGGGAATAATTTTCAAAAACATAATTTAATCTTACTTATTACTTACTTACTTCCAAATGTTACCACAAATTGTTTAGAAATGTGACAGCAAATGCTATAAATTATAGATATTAATGTTCATTCATTAAAAGTTCTTCAAAGAGCATTTGAAAGAGAGATGAAAAGCATTAATATGTACTAGTAGTAGGCAGATTCTGATACTTAGAAGTCATGATATCGAATGCAAATTGAGTATTCTAAACCAAGACTCTTAAGTCATGTTATTAAGCATTTCCTTATCAGTTTGAGCAGCAGTGTGGCACTTTAAAAGGACCAGGTATGGGGGACCCTACCAGTACTGGGCAGATGGACCAGTACTACTCAGTTTTATGCTGCCTCATTTACTTAGTGTTTTGCAATCCTTAATGTGCACAGCTGGCAGCTGAATGCAGGTTTGATACTAACAGTTTAGACATCTTTAGATGTAGCAGATGGAAAATTTTACACAAATAAAGTAGGAGAAAGTGTGCAATTAGGTTTTTATCTGCAGTTACATGATGCATCCTGTGCTTTAGTTTAGAACACCACCTTGGTGGGTGGTCATCATCTTTCCTTGCACCAAAGCCCTACCTTCTTGACACAACATTTGACTTTGGAAGCCTGCCCAAACACCAAACTTTTGTTACTGTTGAGTGTAAAGGAAATAAGAAATGCAACAATCAGCAAAAGACAAAGGCAGACCAGCAGTGTGATTCTAGCAGTCCAGTACATTATGGTTACATTCCACGCTAGTTAAATCACTATGGTAAAATCCTTGGCAGGATTTTTTTCAATAGTTTATTCATGATGTTCATTATTATGAGCTGTAAAGACTATGAGAATTTCATTTTTTAAATGTCTTATGGAATGTATCACTTTCTTAGATCTTGTAGACATGCTGTGGAAACCATAACATAAAATATGAGTTACTTACAATAACTAATTTTAATCCCATCTGCTAAGTATGACAACATTAGCATTTCCACTTAATTAAAAACACCCTTAAAGCAGCAATGTTTTAATCACTCCATTTTATTTACTCTCCTCCGGTGTCACTTATAATTGTAACTTTTTATTTTTTAATAATGAGGGATTTTTTTTTCTCTGTGCATCACACAAAAAAGTGCTGTCGATAATTAGCAGTCTTCTGTTATTACTAGACTCAGGTGTCACAACTGTGTCTCATCCTCATTACAGTAAAAAATTTCACCTATCAGATTCATTATTGCAAGATAATGCGACTGAGAGCCTTAGCAGGCCCTCCAGAAAAGTAATTCAGCCAAGCAAAATTATCAGCTAATTATATTTAGAATCAAAAGCCCAACAACTATTTGCAGATAAATTGTATGAATTGAAGTGAATAGATCTGAATATTAAGATTCATAGATTTAGCAGATGATTTGTTAATTGGAATAAAAAGGTCATTTACTAGCCATTTTAACAATAGATCAATTGAAACTCTGTTATTTAACTGATAGTGCTTAAGAACTGAAATAATGGATAATTGTATTATTGTCATGATATGATACTTTTTTGGTAAATGACAGAAATATGTGGAAGTTTTACTATTCTCTTTCTACATTCAATCTAAGGTCAAGGTAAAATATATACAGACTGTTATGTTCAGTATATTTTAAAATGTAGGAATTGTTGATAAAAGGTGTGTTGTATGTAAAAGGAGTTATTGCACTCTTACAGAAACTTGGGAGGAAATATATTCACAATTTTACTGTCAAGGTAGAAAATTAGTATGTAAATATGATTATCTGCAAATGAAAGAAGTAATTCCAAATTGTAACATTTATCAAACAAACTGCAGAAATACTGAATTCTGATATTACTAATTCATGATAGAGACAGATTTTCATAAGGGGATGTTGCATACGTAAATGATGACTCAAAGTGTATCTTGGCCTGCAGTTTTGTTTGAGAGAACTCTCCTTGTTTCATTCAGAGGATAGTATTAAAAAGCAAATATTTTAACATAAATTAGTGATCTAAGCTATTACTGAAATGTCCATGGTTTTACATTTTTTTAGAAGATTAAAGAAAACTAAAAATCTATTTGCTTTGACATATGACACAATATTTAAGACTGAAAATCATCAAGTAAATCACACATCAGAAATATTTCCCTTTAGTAAAAAAAAATATAGTGCTAGATGATCTACACTTTGAAATTGTTGTCAATTTTTAAAATGCAATCTGAAGAGCATGTCATATTAAAAAACATAAAATTATTATTTTTTTAAGTTTGTGGTGACAAAATTTGCAATTAATATCTAGCTAAGCATTTGAGAGAAAAGATGTGCTTTGGGTCTGTTAAAGATAAGGAGGGTTTTAAAACAGAACTTCATACATTCCCTCCCAACCACACACCCTCAAAAAAAAACTTAGCAGAACCATGCTAACCAAAAATCACAGAAACACATTAGCTGTCATTGCAAATAAAAAGGTGAATGTTGACTAAACCTCAGATTTTTTCTGTGGGGCGGGAAAATGATGTTAAAAATAAAGTCCTGGTATAGACAACATGTTGGAGGAAATTCAAAGATTCATAAAATAAACATATTTTAAGAAGTGTTTTGAATTTTACTGTGTAATTTCTAGCCAAAAGAAATTACAGTTGTATCTTTAAAGTTTATTACATGTCAGATCAATGGCCATTATTCACAAAGAGTAAACTATAGTAGTTTAACCCATTCAGTTACCAAAATGCAGACATAAATGTGATAACTTCTCTTTAGATTTGCAATAAGAAAACTTTCTGACATTCTATTGCAATTATAAAATATTTAGTTTTGATGTTATGGAAGATGATGTAAATTGTTCTGTGAGAAAACAAAAGTATAAACCACTAAATCTTTTGGCAAAGGAATCTTGACAGTATTTATTAAGAAATACAAATTTTATGTCCTCAAAAAGGAAGAAAATTATCTGAAGCATGTGCATAAGTTTAAATATGCCAACCTAGAACATATTGTAAGCCTTTCTTAGGACATGTTTAATTGTAGCCTTTGAACTCTTATAGTTAAAGGACAATACATTTCATGCCAGGTAATTGCTATTGTATAAATATCCTTGTTTTTCTGCAGCATTATTAAGAAAAGCTGTCCATACTTCACCATGTTGTTACATGTGTCTGTCTGCTGATTATAAAATGTGTTAAACAGTATTTAAAAAACAAAAAAATGCAGAGCTGCGCTTTGATTTATTCAGCGAACAAAACATATGCTCGCTGTTCTGTTCTATGTAATTCATATGATCAATAAAATTTTCTTTAAAAAGAGCAACTTTGGCATTTAGAAGGATTATACTGCTGAACAGAAAAAATGGTTTACTTCTGCTTTTTATAGTTAACTTCAGTGGTGTTGGACCAAAATAAGTTTTTGGCTCACTGATGCATTGTTAATATATCTATTATTCTTAATCCTTAGGTTAGAAGCTGTATATTGTGGTTGTTATCCACTCTGTCCCAAAGCCTTGGTGTATCCAGAAATATTTCCAGGTAGCTGCTTTTATGCACATGCTTTTTGTTGAAATGTATTACATGATTCATGATAAAATACAAAGTTTGAGAATAAACTTAAGCAAAAGCAATTGTTTATTTGGCAAGCCAACATGTTAGTGTTAAGGAAAATTTTATGTGTTTTAATACATTACACTAAGTTTATATTTACCATCTGTTCTTTCAAGATAACACAAAAGCAAGTTTTGAAATAGCATTCTTCATTGTTAGCATACACAACCCATAATGATAGATTTTTATAAAAAGGTCAGCGGTGCTGCAATGGCTTGCAGATTTTTTTAATGATACACAGAGAAAAATTGGGGCCTGAAAATCACACGAAATTATTTAAACAATGTAATACTTAATAGTATGCAACTGTGGTATAGGATACACACTAATGTACTAATACCAGTTCTTTGAAAAATCTCATCACTAAATGTATCACATATGCATTGTGTTACATTAGAATAATGTATTTTAATCACCCAAAGGAGATGTCTAAACAGCACAACTACACAGTCTTATTTAGCATTAAACATCCTTGTGAGCTGAGGTAACCTTATAAAATCATGCTTAAATAATGTAAAACACAAGGCGGCACAGAGCAATATGCATTTTTAATTAGTAAAGTGACTAATATCGAGTGTGTGCTTTGAGGTTTTTGTTTCATTAAAAATGTATCTGTTTTTCCTGCAGCTGAATATCTGTATTCTACACCTGAACAGCTTCTTAAAAGGCTTCAAAATTTCTGCAAGAGACCAGATATTGTAAGGAAACATCTCTATAAGGTAGATGTTCAGAATAGTTTTATATGATATAATGCCATATTGAAATACAAAGGAAAAAAAACCTTAAAAAAACAACATTTAATTAACATACTAATGTTTAAAGGAAACATGCTAGGGAGGGATATTAGTCGTTACACTAACAAGGATTAATTAAACTAGATGCCAGTTGTATTAACCTAGGTCTTATGAAATACGTGCACTTAATGCATGCTACATGCTTTTTTTTAAATTTATTGTTTTCTAAAATGACTGTCCTTTACATTTGGACCCAAGAGGCTTATAAAAATGAACCTGGATTAATGTAACTCATTAGTTTAAAAGGAAAGTAAAAGAAGGATCCTACAATTATACTAATGAGGATAAGCCTACCTTCCTATCAGAATTTAATCTCCAGTTCTCAAAAAATTCAGGTGAATGTCATCAGGTAAGCTTTTCCTGTCTTTTCAAACTACTTTTGCAATTTTAACTCTTTATACTAAAACTTCACAAGAGGTAAAGTTAATTCTTGATGTGCTTATAACTTTTCATGTGAGGAACATGGTGTGGGGGAAGTTTTCTGGAAGCTTTATTCACCAAAAATTTCCTGCATAATTCATTGCAATGATTTCTTCAAAGGAGGAAGGGTTTAAGTGGCTGGAATGGCTGTTCCAATTCTGATCCATTATTCTATACTGGACCTTCTTTTAGATTTTTAAGATGCATTTGTGTGCCATGTTAGTAGTCAAACTTTTTTTTAGTTATGTAAAGTTATGTCTAGATCATGTATTTAGTCTTTCATCATGTCAGTAATACCCTGATATTACACTTGTGGTATTTTTTATAAAAGAATTACTACTTTGCATGTGCTAATTTCCAAAAGGACAAGTCAGTTCTCAGTTACCTTAGAAGCAAAGATGTGCTGAGGATGGTAATGTTGCCCAAGCATGTCAAAGACGTAAGAGGTAGCATCTCTAAAAGTACCTGGCTTAATTAGAAGAGTCATTGGGATTTAGGCATCTAGTAAATCCAACATCTTGAGAGGGCTGTGGAAGCATGGGTAGAGGTTATATGTTATAGCTGAAGATGTGTAGCAAACGCCTAGCCTTCTTCAAGTGTGCAGGTAATGGACCTGCCAAGCAAGCACTTTCTAACCTGAGCCACTAACATTGTCAGCAGCTTTTGAACCCTATATCCATGTTTTTCACATTGGGAACCTGAAAATAGCAAGCCCCTTTATGGATTAATTATCTGCCCACTTGCCCCCTTTAATATACCCACTCAAAAGGAGGTGTAGTTTAGCCCTGAATTCACTTGTCTTTTTTGGGGGGACCTAAAAATAGACATTTGCATAACGATACATCAAAAGAAGATGTTGTTTCTGCAGGAAACAGTTAAACTTCAAGAAAAAAAAGAGAGAACCAAAAATGCAATTTAACACCCAATTTCAAGCTCATTATCTTTCATTGTCTATTAACTTGGCAATGGTTCAGAAGGTAGCTCATAATAGTTTAAAATGCTGACTGAACACTTCCAGTGTTCAGCATTACTTCTTGAGTCAATACTATTGTATAGTTATACATGGCGTCTTCAAAGAGAAAACAGTCCTTAAATGTTTACCTTGACATTTCTCCATTCTTCAAGTTCAGTTAGTAATTTTGTTTCATAGGTATCTTCTTTATGCATATGGATCCCTAGCTCAGGCATAAAGGGAATGCTAGGATGCCGAAATTGGAAGTAATGGCAGAACAAATATTGATACTAAAAGGGTACGATTTCAAAATGTGGCACAGGGAGTGATGAGTGCACAAGCCCCATAAGCAAAATGCTTCATTTGCTTCAAGTGCCTCCTTTTGCAAATGCACTCCTTGGTGAATTATTTATAAGGAGAGTGCCACCACAAAAATGGAGTACTTTATCATATTGCTTTGAGTTGCACAGTATTAACCCTGCAACTGAGCGTTCATAAGTTGTAAATGTTTGCAGTAGTTTCTGCAACAAGTAGCACTGAAAGGAGACGGGGAGAAATAATTTTAGAATTATAAAACTAAGGCCTACTCCAAAGCCTGTGACTGTCAGGAAAAAAGCTCTTGCTGATTTGAATGGGCTTTGGATCAGGCTCTGAGAATGTGAACACAGTTATTCTTTTTGCACCCTGGCCCCAAATATGCCAGAGTTGTTTATTTTGCAAATAAACTACCCTTAAAAGGTTTTGAAAGAATGTCAACTTAGAGATGCGCGGTTAATGGTAATTATAGATATGGTGAAATATTTCTTCAGACAGTTGAAAAGAGCAGTACACAATACCTCAGCAGTGAACTCATCGGGGACATGTACATGCCTCTTTGCAGATACTGGTTACATTTCATTTAGGAGTCCATATACAGTAGGTGAAATAGAGAAAAAGGAAAGTGAAAAAAGTGATCTGGCACATAACAATACATGGCAACTTCCTAGTTCTCTTTCAAAAACTTTTCTGGCATGCTCAAGTTCAAAATATAGCTGTGTTCCTGCAAAGACAACATAAGAACTCTTTAAAAGAAATTTTTTTTTTCTTTACATTTTAGACATTCTGTTTTATGAATCAAGAAACAGAAATTGTATATCAGAAGTACTATTGGTTACATTTCTGCATATTTTTGTTGCCATTTTATTATTCAGCATATCAAAAGAACACAAACACATTGATTCATTATTCTCTCAATTATATGCTGTGTTTATGCCAACGTATAAAGTTAGAGGCAAAAGGAAGATAGAATTTTACTTATTACAAAAAGGCAATCAAGTTAGGTAATTGGACACAACAGGCTGTGTTGTGGCTAAGCTTGCTGGAAAGCCTTGGGTGCACTGTGAAAAGACATAAAATGAAGCCAACTATCTCTGCACCCACGCAGTGCTGACATCTATCAGAAGACAAGGCCTGGAGTGGCATTGTTTGTTATAATGGAAGTAAAAACCAAGCCCCACCCCTGAAAAATTTCCGCATGGAAGTGTACAAGTTAACCCATTACACTGGAACAGCTTGACTAACTGTTGCTTAACTCTATTGCAGACTTTTCAAAACATACATAACATAAGTGCCTTTTCAAGGTATTTAATACTTACCCTGTATACTCTGATGGCACCAAAAGCTTATTTCAATTGGAATGCTACATTCCAGAATTTGTTAACACAAGAGAGGAGAGTTGTCCCAAAAAAACCCATGTGCTATCAATTACTTGCTGTTTTCTAGTTTAATTTAGTTAAAAGTTACTCTTTTGTTTTGTGTACTGTGGGACAGCAGGCTCACTGACAGTCCTAAATAACAACATACTGGTACCTCTCAGAGATAGGTACGACCCCATCAGAGATAATGGCGAAGGAGGATAAAGAGTAGGTGGGGGGGGTTTCCATTGTTTTCTTTAAATTTACCTTTGGTAGTTTGTTTAAGCCACACAGCTCAGCTTCTTACAAGGGCAATGTAAAGGAGTATGGAGCAGAAAGGGGTGACGAGTGTTGCCAACCTGACAGGCATGGAAAGAACTGGCAGTGTTACACACTGTTTCCTATGCCTGCCAGCAAAATGGGTGCATGTTGGCATTTCATAAACTTAAGTTCATGCCAGCAACTTGTACTTACCAGTTTGACTGAGAGCGTTTGAGCCCACTTTCAGATATTATTATAATAACCATATTGTTCAAATTATAAGTCAACCCTTTTTTCCTCAAAAAGAACCATTAAATCACACTCAACTTTTCTGCAGGGTTGACCTATAATGGAGCCTCTTATAATTAAACTGCAGTATGCATTTTTTTTGTAAAATATTATATTTAGGGGGAAAAGTTGTTTCTCTTAAAATTTTACTTGAAAATGTGGGGTTGATGTACATGCAGAGTCAGTTTATAATCAGAGCACTACTGTACTTCCTTAGCACTAAAGAAGTAGTACATTACAGTAACAGGAAAAGCCACATGACCCAATTTTTGTCTTATTTGTACTGGTATAGAGTATCTCCACTTAAGTCAAAGGCATTAAACTGATATGAAATAAAGCTAGTCCTACTCCAGCCTGTGACACCTGCTTGGATATTGTACAGCCCTGGCACTCAGGTCTTCAGTTTAACAGAACAGTTCTGCAGTTTTTTATGATCAGGGAAGGAAAGCAGGGACTACAATTCTGCACAGCCCTTATTTGGGGGGGCTGTTTTCCATAATTTCCACCCCTCTCCCTTCCAAAAAAAGGCCAGAAGAGATCTGTCTTTCTTTTGGAACTTCCACAACAGATCAGACCATGGTGCGCCAAAGTGTAATAGCATAATGATGGGTAAGTGAACGGAGCGTGAGCCTCAGGCACTGCTAAGTTGGGGGAGTGAAACTCACCTTTCCATCCCTTCCCCTCTGCCCCAACACCCTACACATTCTGTGCAACAGCTCTGGCAATGGCATGCAGAGAAGCAGTGACAGGAGAAGCAGTCTTAGGTATGCTGCTGCTAGGGGAGATGTCACTTTTTTTTCCTACTGAAAACCATCGTTATTTTGGCCGTGCAGTAAACCTCCAGTCCCTGCCCCTGACCTCTTGACCCTGGGTGTGGGATGGCACAGTACTGGCTAGTTACACCGCTGGTCCAGTGTCTTGTCTATGATAGTGGCCAGCATCAAATGCCTCAGAGGAGGTTTGATAGGCAAAGGTAGATTAATACACACATACACCGGGAAGGTCTCATTATGATTAAGATCATTAATTGTTAGTGATTAGCTTAAGCCCTGGAGCATGAGGCTTTGTATCCCTTCTGGAAACTCTTTATTTAGCATTAGCTATTATAATTTGGCTAGTATTGCTAGCCATATAATTATTTAATGCTTCTTAGAATCTTGCTATCTTCTGGCAGCAATGACATCCTGTGGCAAGGAGTTCCACAGAGCAATTCCATGTTGTATTAAGAAGTATTTGCTTTTACCACTTTTGAATTCTCTTGCCTTTCAATTTAATCAAGTATGTGTTCCTCCTTGTGCTCTGGCACTGGAGAAACTGAAGGATTGTTGAGACTGCTCCTTATTTTTATACCATTATCATGTCCTCTCTGTCTCCTTTCTAAAATAGGAAATCACATTTGTTAGGTCTTTCCTTATATGAAGGTATGCTGGGTACGGATGAACAGGAAAGTGGAAGAGAACTATTTGTGTTTTCCAGTCATGGAGCTGGTTTTCCATTTATTCCATCTCAACCGAAAGTAAGAGCAGGAGTAGCCAACATATGGCAGGAGTGGCACAGGCAGTGTGTGTACATGGTACCCAATAGATTGGGGAGGGGACAGGCAACAGCAGCTGATCAGGCAGGGAACACAGGACAGGAAGCAGAAAAAAAAGGTCAGGTAGGGAGTACAGGGTAGGGAGCAGGAAGCAGAGCAGCATATTGGACAGAGGAAGGGGATCGGAATTCCACTCAGGCAGGACACAGGGCTAACTTGTGGCATGCCTACTAAAAATGTTGGCCACTACTGATATAGATCAGTTTTAGGACAGTTATGAATTATATAACCTAACAGTGAGCACTATGGAGACATTGTACTAGCCAGGTACTCTTATAGTCTCAACATATCCATAGTCCATTGGCTGGAAAGGGTTGCTTGTGTGTGGGCCGTGTTATCAGTTTCCTGCCAGATAAGGATTCATATCCCCAGGCCAGAGAATCTTCAGCGGCTTGTTTAGGGCCTCATTAATTAATTCCCCCATACACCATTGAATTTGGGCCAGGATTTGGCATGCAGGGTGTAGAAAGGTGGCAAGATTGGGTAAGAACAGTACCATTTGTAACTTTCACCATAAAAAAGAAGGACTTGGAACTTTCTATTGTAAAAATATATTTAAAAGATTATGGATGAAAATTGCCTGGGGAACCAAAAATGCTTCAGAAGGGCTCCTTGACAGAAGGGGTTAAGACAGAAGATGCCCAATATGTCCATAGAATATGGTCAAGTGGGGGAGATGCACTGCAAAAGCAATGAGAATTCAATTTTAAAATGAACTACACATGCACATTTGGGTTGGTCTAATAAAAGATATCAAATTCACCCAAGGAACCTTGTCTGCCTATATCCTTAGACCAACACGGCTACAACCTAAAACCCTGCTACACATGCACCAGTATTCTGATGTTCTGTTGTTTTGTCTGTTCTGAGATACTTTTTGCAAAGTAGTTTGGAGGTATAAAAGTTCTTCCAAACTTATTTTTTTTAACTATATAGAGCAAAGGGTTGTAAGTCATGCTGGTTTGTACAATGGCTGTCTACTGGTATGTTTGGGTACCTGAAGATATTTAGGACTAGATCCAAAGGAGCAGTTAGGTGCCACATTGATCTGGTTCCCAGAGTGCAGTCTGAAGGCTTGGCTCCCTCTTCAGGGAATGGGAGTTAGGCTCCTCAGAAGGATGATCCAAAAAAACCTCACGCTGGGTGCATCTACACGTGAAATTAATGTGACACAGTAAACTCTGGAGCAGTTCAGACCAGAGTCAGCTGTTCCCGGGCACAGCATCTACACATACACCCAGGACAGCAGCAGTTTTAACCAGGGCAGAACAGCCCCAAGCTAGCAGCAGACTCAAAGGGTCAGCCCCAGGCTCCAAGTAGTGCCATCAGGCAGCAGAGGGGGTGGCTGGGGTACGAGAGTGCTAAAGTATGGAGCTGTGGGGCCGGCAGCCCCTGCTCTTTAGCATATTCATGCCCCAACCAGCCTGTCATTGTCTACACATGCATTTCATCGCACTTAATTACTCCACCATAAGATAGTACTGTCCCCATACTATCTTATGGAGGAGTTAATTTACTGCACCTTAATACCAGTGCACATGTAGACAGTGGCACTTTTCTGCGGAGGTACTTAGTCAATTCCACAGTAAAGTACACATGTAGATGCACCCATTGAGTGGGGAGCTGCTTAGAGCTGTCAACAGGAAACACTGCACACAAGGGACAGTCTCAACTCCCATTCCTCTTTTGAAAGAAGTGAACAGAGCTCATCCATCATAAAGGACAGCTAGGGGAGAAAGAACTGGTAGTGATGGTGCAGAAGCCACCTACCTTTTATGTGATAGACTACTGGTTAGAACATTAGAGTGGAAGAGCTGGCTTCTAGGCCCTCCTCAGTTCAAACCCATATCTCTCATACCCAGGAAAGTGCCCTGTTTCTTTTTGCTTGCATTCCTTCTGTCCCTATGAGCCTTGCTTTCTTTGCTGTACAGTGGCCCAGATTCAAAAGGAGGGAATCCCCAACTAGCCTGGTGGTTAGGGTACTATCGTGGGAGGGGTAGACATGGGTTTGAAACCCATCAGGGAGCAAAGGGACATGACTGGAACAGCACCGCTCAAGCATTTAGGATGCAGACAGAAGTGACAATTTTTGCCTGATCTGGCCCCTGAAAGTGCTCTATGGCCATGACCAAATAGAGGTGCACAGCTGCAAAGTGCTTTAAAAGGACCGTATCCTGCAAAAATTGAGGTTTCAGATGAAAACATTTTAAAACAGATCATCTTCAATAACTTCTGCCTGCTCTGCCTCCCAGCCTGTCGCTGTTTTCAGAATGGGAGGGAGGAAAAGGTGTGGAGGGAGTTTGGTCTGGGTTTTTTTCAGCCCATACTGCAAGGTAGGGTGGGTGTATTAGAGCCTTCCCAAGGTAGGGGGTCCAATCCACCCACCCCACCCTCCAGCCCCAGCTGGGGGACCCCTAAAATGATCTCTCTCTGCTCCCTTTCCCCCCCTCCCATTCTAAAAACAGCCCGGGCTGGGAGGGAGGAGGAGCTGTTGCTAAGGAAACCTGGCAACAGACTCGCAGCCAGCAGCTGGATTCCCCTATCCCCTGGACCCAACAGTGAACTTCTGTTTGGTCTGGGGGACTATTGTAATTCAGAACGCTTCCTGCAAAGCATTCTGAGTTACAGTGGGGAGCTGATCTTCTGTTTGCACCCTTAGACTTGGGTATTCAGGGCGCGCTCAACTCCATCCTAGCCAGAGCCTGCTACTCTAGTGGTATTGGTCCCGAGACTGCACCAGGGCCTGTTTGAGACGCAGTGGAGTCCCAGGGCCAGAGCCAAGAATCAAATTGTTGACCCTTATCAGACATTCAGGCACTCATCTTTCAACTTGCCAGTGCAGGGGGAGCCTGGATTATGATCCCTGGCTCCCCATCCACTGGCAAGCAATAATGGCATGATTGGGATCCCAAAATCAGACTTCCTCCCATGAAGATCTGGCAGATACCATCATGCCATTAAATAAATGTGTGCCAGGAGCCTTATGAACTGTTCTGTTACTTTCTGGATCCCAGTGGGACTTGGGCAGGTTGCCATCTGTGCTCCAAATCTCATCTTTCTTATTAAACAATAATGTATAATTCCTGTCTCTAGAAACATAGTCTGAAGTATATGATCAGAGTAGGAACTGATACAGAGATGTCTGCCTGAGTCCACAGGTATCCTGAAGCAATAACCGTAACAATGCGCTATGACTGTTAACTCTGAAGCCTAAAGATGTCAGTATAAATGTCTAAATGTCCAAATGTCTTTTGTGAACAACATATGTAAGGAAGAAGTGTTATATTATAGAAATTTTTATGCCACTGGGGGGTCACTAGTTTTGTTGTAAGTACTTGTTTCTGTGTAAAACATTTTTGCTCTCCCCACTGCCAACTCAGCTTATACTGGTTTCAGGTTGAGTTCAAGTAAGTACCATCCAGGGACTTTGCAGTGCTGTAAAAAATCTCATTCAATTGTGTAATGATACTGGCTTATCAGTACACAATAATAAAACCTAGACACACTTCCACTGACCTATGCCAAAAACAGGGCATTTGGATTTCTTTGTATCCTGCACCAGGTTGTTATGAAATAAGAAAGGAAAAGTACCTATTTTAGTGAACCTCAGTCCTCTACCAATTTTACTGTTAAAAGTCTTTTAAGTGAATTCAGTACATGTGAAAAATACTGGACTAAAAGTACTTGAGATATTGTGTTCACAGAACAGGGACTAAGACAGCAAGTTTGCAGGTAATGCTCCAGCTTAGTCAGGCACATCTGAAGGTAGGAGCAGTGATTCAGTCTCCCTGCTTAGTTAGTCTTTGGTCTCTCTACTGAGGCTGCCAACAAAACTGACACCCATTAGGTAACATGAATGCCTGTCCAGTAGCAAATAAACGGAGACTACTAACTATGCCCTGTGGATCAGCCAGTAACTCTGAGCCACGACTGTCCTGAATCGGATTTGAACCTTCATTTGAGAGGTGGAAGCAAGCATTGTATCCTTTTTTACTCTTGCAGATGTTCCACTCCATTACTTAATAAAAAGTGCGTGTTAAACATAGCACATTTCTATGTAAAGTTGTGCTAAAACCCATGGCTGCACTATTATCTTTCCAGTGCAGTTTGTGTGCCCAGTTCCTCCTTTCAGTAGCGAGGTCTTTGAACTGGACTTAAAAAAGCAGAGGATTTTTTTTTGCCCTGGGACATGCAATCATCACATAAGCATCTTAGGGTTCTGTTCTGATTGAAAAGCTTCACAATCATGGGTGGGGCCTCATGCGAGCAGCAGCCTCGCAATACCAGGTGAACTGTTTGCATCAGAAAGCACTTGTTTACAAAAACGGTTCGAACCTGATCGGGAGTCCTAATACTTTGATCCAATCAGAGGGCGGAATTTTCTGACCCTGGCTTACAGCAGCATCTGCATTGCTCCCCGTCTTATCCAGGCCACTTCCGAGTCTGTCTGTGCAGAAAAAGAAATCGCAGCTCTGTGTTAATCAAGCGTTTCTTTTATTTTGCTCACACTGAAGACAGCACATTTGTGTTTTAGCAGCTAACGTTCCTTCATTTGATTTCTTTTCTTTTTCTCATAGGGGGAGATGGCTCAGTTTTCTTGGGCAGCACTACGTGGTAAATTCAGGTCTCTGCTCACAACAGAACCTAGGGAAGATTTGTGACAGATGGGGCTAAGTCACAAACTTGCAGCCTAAGGCAGAATCTGTAGAACTTTCCAGAGTGTGCCCATATTTACCTGATCAGAGAGAAAAGAAAATCTGCAGAGGAAGCTGAGCCTGGCTGCTTGTCATAGCTGACACAGAGCCATCTGCCACAAACCTGTGGCGGCTTCAGATCTCCAATCCCTGCCACCACCCCAACTCAAATTAAATACAGATTCTTAGAGACGTTATGATGGTTACACATGTCCTCGGCATCACATGCAGGAGACTGTTCAAAAAAAATATGTGGCCTGTTGTATAACCGCACTCATGTATCCCATATGTGGTGCCACATTGAATTTCCGGTTGAATCTGTTTTTATCCTTTGTACTGGATGACATGGTGCCTGAATTCTTTCTTTTTGCCGACATGATGGCAGCCAAACTACAGCTTCAAACGCTCACACTTGGCTGGGTTTCTACCTAGGTTGCCAGGTTATCATTGGAGCCTTATTGTGTCCTCAAAGGGCCACAGGGCCTGAAAGGAGGATCAGAGTGCTACCGGACTAATTGGGCAGCCATCTATGAATTGTTTGTAGGCAAAGGGCTGCTTTAGCACTTTTCTTTTTGCAAATTAATGACTCTCTGGCACAGGGGTTTTTAAGTGAAGGTATTAATAAGGGGTCTGGCAGGTATTCCCATGATTCACAGAGTTACATTTGCATTTAATTAATCTTAAAGAAAGCTGCAAGATAAACAGCTGTAATTCAAACTAGCATGGGAAATATGCTACATGGTGCCATCTATCCGATAAAATGAAAGCTGAGACACTTGTTTTATTTCTCTCAAGGATGGAGAACAAACAGATAACAGTCAAAATACTTCCAATGAAAACCAGTAGTTTTAATGTAACTGCAGTTCATCAAAAATCTTTGCATCCAGCTACAAATACAGTCTTTTACAGATAAATCACTTATGATTCTAACAGTCAAGCTGCTATATTTGTTGATGTAAAATGTTTTGAAGATTTAGATTGTACAATAAATTTTTAATAAAGCGCCCACTGCAATTTTTAATTAGCATATCTCATTCATGTATAAGTGTGTACATCTATCTGTATGTTTATCACTCTGCATATCCTTGTGTCACAGTCAATGAATACAATTGTGTCTTTATCTGATGAATTAGAATCTGTTTTGCAAATGACAATAAAACGCTAAGACAATTCCAAGATTTTCAACTCTCTTCTGGAAAGAAGCAAGAGACAAAAGAAGAATTTCCCGGTAAGTCATTATGAAATAAGTCTTGCTAACACTGCCATATTCTCTTAACAGGTAAGGTTTCCAGTCCCCCTAGTTTGAAGCAACATAGCCTCTCTCCGTACCCTGATCGCTAACTGGTTTTTTTCTTTGTGTGTTTTTCCTCAGTTTCATAGTACCTCCAGTCCCTTCCATTCACTGAGGAACACACTGAGTAGTACGTTTCCTCCTTAGACATTCCCTGCTACCCTGACTACAACACAGAAGCTGTATTTTATCTATTTTGCCATACTGTTAGGAATTATACAGTTTTACAGTATAAGAGAGAGTGTGCACACGCTCCTATCCCATGCATGATTTTAGTCGATCAAAAAAGGTATGTCAGTATTCAGATGATCCATTATAAACATTTCAACTTTTCTTCTGATATTGAAGAAATGTAATTTCGCAATAATCATCATGCGTGTATATCTGTTTCTCTCAATTGTTTAGCACCAAAACCTACTGCAAAATTCAGATCTAAGCTGACTGCTAGCAATTTAATGCAACAGTTAAAGCTGTCATTTCATGATACTCACTCTAGGTGTTGCAGCACATAAGTAACAGTACTAAGGCTGCTTACAAACGTTAAAATTGTTTTAAAAATAATGCTCTCTATCAGAAGAAGCAGCGCATTAGTTCAGCCTGGCTCCACAGTGTCTCTATAAATTGGGCTGTATGAATTGGGCTTTTTGGCACTTTTATCTAAAGCTGATTCAGTTAGTTATTACATAAATGCACCAAAAAAGCCCCACAAAAGCACCCAATATATACAAACATTGGGTGAGCTGGGTCCAACTAACATATTGCCTCTTCTGGGTATGTGCTGGGCTCAGCATGGGAGCATGCCGAGTTTAAAGTGCCGTTTTGTTTTGTTTTTTAACATCTGTAAGAAGCCTATTACTTGGCGCACTTGTATAGCATTTCTTATCTGCGTATTTCAAAAAGCTCTGCAAATATTAAATGTCACAACACCCCTGGAAGGTCAAGTGCCCTGTTTTATGGAGGGGAAGCTGAAGCATAGTTGGGTTGAAGTAAATTGTTCAAAGTATCACAGTGAGTCAAAGTCCAAAAGGGGGAAAGGGACATGGGAGTCTTTATTTCCTGTTATTTTGTTCCAGCCAATAAAAAATACACCTCTCACACATTATTTTAAGTCTCTTGCTGTACTAAGAAACTGGCCTTGTGAGTCAAGAACAAGGTTCCTGATATAAACATGCCAATGAAAAAGGCTCCCATTGCCTTTGAAACAAACCCGAAGATAGGTCTTAACTCTGAATTGGTTTGAGCGGGTTGAGTTTCTAGAGCTTTGTGGTACTTGCCTCCCCCACATCTATGATGCTTTTGAACATGAATTATAGGGTTGGGGGTGGAGGCGGAGGCGGGGCTATAAATGTTTCTTTAATAAATTAATTGATTTTTTTGTTCAAAACCTACTGCAAAATTCAGATCTAAGCTGACTGCTAGCAATTTAATGCAACAGTTAAAGCTGTCATTTCATGATACTCACTCTAGGTGTTGCAGCACATAAGTAACAGTACTAAGGCTGCTTACAAACGTTAAAATTGTTTTAAAAATAATGCTCTCTATCAGAAGAAGCAGCGCATTAGTTCAGCCTGGCTCCACAGTGTCTCTATAAATTGGGCTGTATGAATTGGGCTTTTTGGCACTTTTATCTAAAGCTGATTCAGTTAGTTATTACATAAATGCACCAAAAAAGCCCCACAAAAGCACCCAATATATACAAACATTGGGTGAGCTGGGTCCAACTAACATATTGCCTCTTCTGGGTATGTGCTGGGCTCAGCATGGGAGCATGCCGAGTTTAAAGTGCCGTTTTGTTTTGTTTTTTAACATCTGTAAGAAGCCTATTACTTGGCGCACTTGTATAGCATTTCTTATCTGCGTATTTCAAAAAGCTCTGCAAATATTAAATGTCACAACACCCCTGGAAGGTCAAGTGCCCTGTTTTATGGAGGGGAAGCTGAAGCATAGTTGGGTTGAAGTAAATTGTTCAAAGTATCACAGTGAGTCAAAGTCCAAAAGGGGGAAAGGGACATGGGAGTCTTTATTTCCTGTTATTTTGTTCCAGCCAATAAAAAATACACCTCTCACACATTATTTTAAGTCTCTTGCTGTACTAAGAAACTGGCCTTGTGAGTCAAGAACAAGGTTCCTGATATAAACATGCCAATGAAAAAGGCTCCCATTGCCTTTGAAACAAACCCGAAGATAGGTCTTAACTCTGAATTGGTTTGAGCGGGTTGAGTTTCTAGAGCTTTGTGGTACTTGCCTCCCCCACATCTATGATGCTTTTGAACATGAATTATAGGGTTGGGGGTGGAGGCGGAGGCGGGGCTATAAATGTTTCTTTAATAAATTAATTGATTTTTTTGTTCCTGAGCAGGAGCCATTGAAGTCTCAGAGGGATAGAAGATTATGTGACTGTTCAGATAGTTGCATGACCCTCATGTTGGTAGAATATGAGCCACTACTAGGTTCTTTTCTAAACTAGGACAAGTAGTCGAATTTAAGCTGGGCTTTACTATTCAGGCCAACTTAATCTCAACCTTGTTTCCAAATCTAATAAAGTCTTAGTTGACATTTCTCCTAATTTCCTTCCAGCCACTAAATTTTTCTATTCAAACAAAATGGAATTCCCTGCTATTTTTCAAAGTTATCTGAATTCACAATTTGAAATGTTGACTTAGGGACAGAATGCACATACAAAGCTTACATACCAGCAGGTCATTAGAGTATGTTTAGTTTGTAGATATATGCTCATGTTTGTGTATTCTACCAATGTGGTTTAATTTTGGAAGGGATCTGTTCTGGGCCCAATACTGTTTGTTGGATAGGATTAGGATTCTTAATGACCTTGCTAAACTAGAGAAATGGTCCAAAATTAATCAAATGAAGTTCAATAAGTGCAAAGGGCTGCATGTAGAATGCACAGATACAAAGAAAGACTGGCTAGGCATTATATGTACTGCAGAAAAAAAGCTGAGGATTATAGTGGACTGTAACCTGAATATGAGCCAACATCATTCCCTCATTCCAAAATGAGCTAATAGCATGTTGGGCTGTACTAACAGGAGATTGGTTGCAAATCAAGGCAAGTGTTTCTTCTGTTGTTTGGCACTGGCCAGGCTTCACCGAGAATACTGCATCCAATCTGGGGCACTGCATTTCAAGAAAGATGTGGACAAATTAGCGTCCAATGGTGAGCAACAAAAATGAGTAGTGATCTAAAAATGTGACTTAAGAGAAAAGGTTAGAAAAAATAAGATTATTTCCTCTGAAGAAGAGATGACTGAGCAAGGATTTGGTAACAGTCTTCAAATACCTGAGGGCTGGTTATATGGAGGATGGTGACAGGCCATTCTCTGTGACTGTAAGGGAAGCAAAGGTCTTAAATTGCAACAAATAAAATTGAAGTAGAATATTAGGATGAACTTTCTAACCATGTAGGTGGTTAAACATTGGACTGGGCTACATAGAGCGGCTGTGGAATCTCCATCCTTCTTAGCTTTTAATAGCAGATTAAACAAAAATGTGTCTGAAATGGTTTAAATGGAGATGATCCTCCAGAAAAGCTGGACTAGATAACCTTCTGAGGTTACTTCTAAATTTACTTTTCTGTAATTCTATAACTAGGTTTCATGGGACACCTTGTGGAGTGTTCCTGGGAAATGGCCTGTATAATTAACCTGTCTCCTAGACAGAAGTTCTAGGCTGTGCTTCATCTCCCCAGCTTGGAGGCAGGGTGTGACATTCGTGCATAGGACTTTTAGAGCCTGCAGTTTGAGCAATGCTTTGGAGTGGGGGTGGGAGGGAAAGCCCAAAAATGTTTTTCCTTGTAATTTTGCAAGATCAAACATGAGCCAGCCGCTCTGCATCAGTTCTTTTAAAGCTTTTACTTAAATGCTTTAAAGACAAATTTGATTCTAAGTTCTACAGCTCTTATTCATGGGAATAAACCATTGAATTCAAGCTCAGCAGAATCAGCAGCTGGATTTCTCTTATACTTACTTTTATCTGCAGTGCAATACAAGCTGCAAGATCTTTGGTGCACATTTAAATTATTAGTCCTGCCATAGCTTTCTTAATCTTTGCTGAAACACTCTTTTTGTTTAGTGTTACTACAGTGGCTCAAAACAGATAGTCCTCTGCCTTTCACCTAGAATAATATCACAAGGCTTCTGATCCTGCCATCCTCACATCTCCAGTCATTTAATGGTTTGAGTGCACAGGGAACACAGGTTTGTTCCATACGGAATTGTTCGTGCTTTCTCTTGTAGTAGAAGAGAACAACCTTGCTGACACCAGGGAAATTTTTGCAAAATCTTTCCACCACTGCTATCACTTGAGATCCATGGTGTTAGGAGCACTGAGTGCTCTAGCTTAGGCAGACTCCTATCAGCGTTTTAAGCACTGTATCCTGCATCTTAGCTCATAGCCATTCTAAACGAGGATGATAGATTTTTCCAGTTGGTTTAGCATCTAGAAAGATAGCAGTCAGGTAAAAAGCGCGCACAAAATTCTGCTTCTTGGCTACACAAATATACATCTTCAGTGGTTTTCTCAAAATTTAAATTGGAGGTACTGAGGACAGAATTTACCCCCTGTATGCATATTTTAATGGCTCTAGTTTACTTCCCATAGAACATTACAAGTGGAAGAGATTTAAAAATTAAATTCACCTTTTTTTTGCCATTCAGTCTGTTTACTGTTTTCCATTCCATTGGGACAGTTGAAACAAATTAGTCTGTCTCATTTTTGTTCAGTCACTTTGGTTTGGTTTTTAATGCTAGCCCAGGACTTCCAGCATTTGGGTGGAAAAGACCAGAGGGCATTTTCAAATCCAAACAAATTGTTTTCATGGAAATAATTTCCTAGAGATTTTTTTAAAAAAACATTTCCATGGATCTTGGTTTCTGTAAGCCCCCTTATTCCCTCTTTGAAACCCCAGATTTTGAACAGTGTTCCTTTAAAGTACAGACTCCAATTAAAAAAAAAAAAAAAAAACAAGAAAAAAACCAAGGAGAATGCTGCTCTGTAATAAGCTATGCTTATTTCCCGAAAATATTTTTAAATGCTTCAACGTAATAAGCTTAAGCTTCATCTTAACATGAAAATTTGCCTCTGAATTATGAACCCTTACAAATAAGGGTTTATAATAGAAGCACTCTCGGACCCTTAATTATAGGGTAATAAATAGCAGTGCTATATTATCTTCTGATATTTCCTTACATGCGTAGTGAATGTACACAGCTGTTGTTGGAAACTGATAATCAAGTACTATATAGCTATATTACAACTTATACTTACAACACACCCTTCATGTAAGCAGCATCATAGAGCACTTAACAGTGAGAAGCAAAGAAAGCTGCTTCTAAGCAGAAGCATAACTGAACAAATGAGCTTTGAATTTTAATAGAAGAATCCCAGTCAAACCAGAATTCCTCCTCTTGGCAGGAGCAGGCAAAGAGCATGCCAAATGCAAAATCTTTGCTCCAACATCATGGAGGCAGGACTTAAAAAGCCAGCATAACTTAACGATCCATCAGGAATACACGGAGCAGGAACATCGCAAGTGAAGGAGGCATAAAAGTTACACAAAGCCTTTATAATAGAGGCGGGGGGGGAGGGTTAACAGGATATGTTAACCCCTGGAAGAGCCCTTTCTGCTGCGGGTGAGCCGGGCAGGCTGGGAGGCGACAGGGGCCAAAAGGATGTAAGCGGGGGGTAGAGACGGAAACCGAGGTTAAACAACCGCCCCGGGGCTGGTGTCTGCCCCGAGGGACGCGGCTGCCCCGGGGGAGGCGTCGCGCAGCCTCCGTCCTAGCCGGGCGAGGGCGATGCACGCGTGCCCGGTCCTCCCCCACAGCCGCCCTCCTCCTGCTCACTACAAACTTCTCGTCCCCGGGACTGCCCAGCCCAGCCCAGCCCAGCCCCCGCCGCTGCCAGCGCGGGAGTGCACTGCGTGGGGCGCCGTCCTCCCGGACCGGCGCCCGGCAGAGCCCCCAGGGGCTACACTTACCTTGACCTTTCCTAACATCCAACGTAACCTTCCCTGGCTGCAGCCTGAGAGCACAGGACTCCAGGGGCCCCACTTCCAGGTAACACGTAGCTTGTGTAAATTCAGGCCCCTTTCCCGCTTAGCCTGGGCACCCACAACCATCAGATGCTTGTGAAATCCTTGGCCCATTCGGACAACATGAAGCAAAAGACGGCGAGTGAAACACTATCCTAACAGTCAGACAAATGTAGTGAGGTAATCATCAGCTGTCGATTATATTTTAAAAACTGCCCATGATATTTTCGCGGGTTTAGAGCGAACATTGAAATCCAATAACCCCTATTAAAAATAAAAGATAAGGCTACCAAATACTAAATATTCTAACTGTGGAGGGGTGACCTGCGAGGTCCCCACGTGCCAGATCTGGCACCCGCTGGCCACGGCCTGTGGGGAGGGGGAGCACGTCCATGGACCCGACGCAGCCCGTGGGGCTGGCCCTGCACTCTTCCTGCGGTCCCACACCACTCGCCTGGCCCCTGGAGAAAAACCAGGGTAGAGTAATGGCAGGGGCGGGGGTGGGATATATTGTTCTCTGGTAAACACATATGCAGTGAAAGAAAAATGTTTAATATCTTGTCCACCATTTGTAAATATGTCAAAAACAGAACAAACGACCAAAGCAGCAACAAGCAGCCCCCCTAGGGATCACTTCTTCCACATTTCTTAGTTGAGCAGCGTGAGGAAGTTTAGGTACAGGAGTGAGTTGTTTTCCTTTCTCCCATCCCGTGGGGATGCTGGTCCTGGTTGGAAGAGTGGCAAAAGGCTCAGAGCAGCGACAGGACACTCTGGGTGAAATCGTGGCCCCGCCACTTTCCATAGGAGCTTTGCCTTTGACTTTGAGGTGGTGAGACTTTTTATTCTGTATGTTTCAAGGCTAAGAGCTCACTCCTTTCCCTTAAGCCCAAGGGTGGCCAACCTGCAGCATGAGCAGCCTCTGCATGGCATATGGGGAGGGGACCTGCAGTACAGCAGCAGATACAGCAGGAAGCAGAAAGTAGAGCAGATGACAGGGCGCACACAGTAGGAAGCAGAAAGCAGAGCAGCAGGTCAGGGAGAGGAAAGGGATCAGAGTGGCACTTGTGGAGGACATAGGGTTCATCTGTAGCATGGCTGCCAAAAAGATTGCCCTCCCCTCCCACTCCCATGGCTTAGCCCAATGCCGTACCATGCCCATTTCCACAGGAATCTAGCAATATGTGGGTTTCCATCATGAAAAAGTGTTGATCTCTGTGTTAAAAAAACAGAATCAGAGATCAAATTGAAAGGAAGAAGAGGGATACTTGCAAAGGGCTTAACCTTTCAAGCTTTGAAGGCAAAACTAGGAAATACATTGAAAAGGAATGTCTGTAAACAATGCTAATTAGCATTTTCAAAATCATAACAGTGATTAAAATCTCTGAGTCATTATTTATTCATCACAAAACCTCTTTGCAGACCTGGGAATACTGATTAAAAACTAAGTGCCTTTCTAAATTTTGTACAGTAAGTCGGAAAGATGCATAAGAAGGGTTAAAATGGAAACGAGAAAGGAAACTAAACAAGCAGAAT